TTTAGCCGATTTTGGTGGATGTCATGTTCTTTATATAGTATGTTACACTTAGGGTTACACCATGTAAACCCTAATGTAACATGGCTCTTCATTTCCATGACCCATGGGTTTGTAACTCCCATGGAGCATCCTATGGACCTTAGCCCAACTTGATAATCCATGGAGCATCTAGCCCACTATACAAGTATGGATGATTTACATAATCAACCCATATATTTAATTAGTCTCCTTTTGATCACTTAATTAATTCTAGATTAATTCTTGATCAATAATAATTAAATAATATTATTAATATATTAGAACTTATAATATATTAATAAACCACAAGTGTTATTTCTCTCATTTTGTCTATCCAAATGCATGATGCCATGCAACCCAAATGGACCATGCCAGGTCGGGTCAAGTACATACCAGAAATAGTTATGGACTTAGACACGTTATCCAACACTTTCGTGACATAGAATCTCTTAGCTTGATTAAGTATACTCTCGAAGTCGCAAAGATTTCTATGTGATCCTTGAATGGCAGAAATCAACATAGTTTTTCAATGATTCCATTCATCCAATCATATTTGAATTCAACTTCTAAAGTAGTGTATTCTCAATTTTTGTAATAGATTCTGTCATTATGTTTTGTTTGGACCTCATTCCAACAAGACTTACCCTTCATTCCATAATGAAGTTAAAATCCAATTATAATTCATAATTATTTATATCTGTTTAGAAATTAACATCCTGTGTAGCTCTTTCCATAAAGATCCTTTCTAAACCGATTGTCTCATATGCATTATCTTAGTTCTTCTAAAGTACTCTTAGAATGCTCTCTTAGTCATCCAATGACTTATCAATGTATTCAATTAGTATCCTATGTCATGATTATAGCATGATCAAATACCATGTACTATGCATAATATGGCGTAAATGATGAATTCATTTGCCAAGAAAATGGAATATAAATAATTTCATCTAGTTCAAACCTATGAGCTATGTACTTTTGAGGGTAGTTCAAACCTATGAGCTATGTACTTTTGGAAATTATTGACACATGTGGTTCCATTCCATTTATTTAAATTAGTAAATGGGCCCTATAATTTGGTTAAATTGCAAAACAACCCCCACCTATTAATTTATACCAAAAATTTCCCTTTGAATTATTAGGTAACTTAATTAATCCTGGTGGTTGGTTTTCGAAGGGACACATCTAGGTTTTTCGCGTCAAATATTTGAAACAAATCGACAACCACACAATAAGGTGACTGTTTACGATCCCATTTTTATGCATTTTATTACTATGCGGGGGAGAATACTTGTGCTAGATATATATTATTCATGAACAACACTTACCAACACATACTAGTTTACAAATGTTTTTTTTATCAAAGTAACGTATTATTTACACATAAACTAGTTGCTAAGTTCGATATTACATATATTTCAATTGTTTTTAAATAATACAACTAGTCAAGACAACGTATCATCCTACTACAAAAAAATGTTTTAACTAATAACATGATATATACTTATAAACTAATGTTCAACCAGATGCCTCAACTAAGGTTTGTACCGTACATAAGTCATACCACAAATAAACCTGTAACGTGTGCCTATGTTATTTATGGTCGGGTCGGTACACAACCAACCTTGAGCAAGGAGTTTGACAGACTACAACGGTTGAAAGTTGTAGAGATTGAAGAATGTTCTCAAGATTCGTTGTAGATACCCAGTACCTTAGAAACCTTATATTAACCCCTACACAACATATACATTTGAAATCATATAAATACTTAAAAATCTGGGATAACGTTTAGATTTTCCTAGTTCGCCTAAATCCGAAGAACTGATAGCTCTACTACCTTCATAGCAGAGAAACCCATAAGTTCCCAGTCAATCATTCAACAGTATCCAAACTTCTCTCTTCCAAAGATGACAAAGATTTCAATTCTATCTATTATTTGAAATCGGAAGGATTTCAATTCCCTCCCTATAATCTGGAAATCTGGAGGATTTCCAAATCAATCACCTTTCCCCTATCGTTTGGAAATCGGTAGGATTTTAGGAATCAATCTCACTCTATGATTTGGAAACCTGTGGGAGTTTAGGAACAAATTATACAAATACACTATCATACAATACAACTCCTACATACTTGTGTATGATTAAGTAGTATAAACAACTTAAATGTGTCTTTTATAAACGTTTAGGATAAAGGCCCCTAGAAGGAATTCACGAGTTCACCCACCACCATCATTTCAAATGGACTCAACACTAGGGAAAACTATGATTGCACAAGGAATTGCTACAACTTTAGTTACGTATGAGGTTGCCCGGAGCGGATCTTCGATGGATAGTGAAATTGATGGTGGTATTCTAGTCTTTAACAAAAACAACCCCATATCTTGTTCCTACAAGGATTTCTTAGCCTACAAACCCCAATCCTTCTTCGGTATGGAATGATCCATTGGTCCATCCCGTTGGATAAAGTTGATGGAGGCAGTGTTCCA